TCTATATTATTATATATAGAATTAGATAGATATAAAACCTAGTGCTTTTAAAGGGGAGGTCCGACGCGAGTAAGGGATAAGGGCGTAAAGGTTAAACGAGTTAAACGAGTCGGCGATATCGATAGGACCGGTGTTTAGATACCTAAAAAATCAGAGAAGTTATTAGGATAAATCCGATCAGAAGCTAAATCTATATCCGAATTAGTGAATAAGAACTATAATTAAGATATTGAGAAGTTAACAATTATAATATATAATATAGTAGGGTGCTTAAAAGAATAGAGAGGCTTATATCTGAACTAGTAGAGCTTTTTAGGGGTAAAGTAAACGTACTAGGATATTCTGACTTAGACTTACTTTTAATATAGTTTACCTAGATAATTGGCTGTGTTATATATTAGTGCGGATAATTGGAGGATATCCTGCGGATCTTAAGGATATCTTAAGGATATTGCGGATATCTTACGGATATTTTGTGGATATACTGTGGATATATTGTGGATATTTTGTGGATATCTATAAGATATCCGTAAGACCTCGAAACTCGTTAAGTCCGTATTTCGAGAACTTCTATCTCGGATTTCTTAAGTTCTAGTAGTCGGAACAAATTAAAAAAATAATTAGTAGATAGATAGGACTTTTAGCTTTTATTTAAGCCTAAAACTAAAAGAATTTATCTAATAATAATAGTTTTGATTTTCTATATTCTGTTTCCTACGAAGTTTATTATAGTTAACAGTAGGTAAATATATATTTCTACGTATAACTTACCACAAAATCGTCAATCTACGGCCACCTTTACAATATAACGTCGGACTAAGAAAACTATAAGACCACCTGCAAATGCTGTATAAGGAGACCTTCGATATATATCTATTTCCTAAAATTTTAAAGTGCCGACCGTCGATTTAAGGGGTTGGTTCTGTCAGGACTAAATATACGTTTATTTCAGTGGTAAGGAAATATTGGTAAGCTGTATTAAGATCATATGATAGGCTATAAGGGGGAAAGTAAGCGAGAGTTATGCTAGTGCGGATATAAGGATCAATCTGATATCCATTGGAGCGGATATGCCGCAGTCTAATCTAAACCAATCAGCGATAGTAAGGATTCCGAGGATAATAATCCTATTGGACTGATCGAGTATAAGTTTATAATAGAGAGTTAGCTTCCTTGTCCTTCTATAGTGCTAAGTACGCGGAAGCGACAGAGAAGTAAGCTAGTTAACAGCGAAGATAAGAGTAGTCCTTATCTCCCTTATTATAGAGATAAGGGTAGTACTTAAAAGCGCCCTGGTTTAAGAGAAGTAAGGAAGCGTAGTAAACCCAATAATAATCAATTTGTATCGTATTAGTGTGAATATATAAATATAATAAATACCTAAGCTATTATACAAAGGCTTCTAAGGCTTATTTCTAACCCCGGTTAAAAAGTGAAAATATATCAAGTTGTTGTATAAAGGCTTCTAAAGCTTATTTCTGACCTCGGTCAGAAAATTAACTGTAGTGTTAAGTTATTGTACAAAGGCTTCTACAGTTTATTTTTCTGACCGAGGTCAGAAAATTGACAGTAGTATTAAGTTATTGTATATATAATCGAATTACTTAAAAATACAGAGAAAAAAATACACAAATAATATAGGTCACGAGGTTAAGAAATTCTGCTTACTAAAAAGGCCTATAGGCGCCCACGGTGTCTATAGACAATAGGCCCTAAGGGTAGGGCCCGTCTATAGGCGTATAGATAGTGCCTATCGCCCGCTTATATAAGGCCCGTGGGCACTGCCCACCCGCCCGTCTATGGGCGATGTCGCAGTCTAGCTACGTGTATATACAGAGTACTCCGTACACCGCTATAACATACTAGTGTTTTATTCAAAAAAAGCAAATAAAATTCGGGCACGAATTCACGGCATCGACCTCCGTAGTAACAATATCTTTATATTTATACTAGTATTATTTTAATGTTATATTTTTTGTTTATTTATTTATTTGTTTATTTATTTACAAAATTTTATAGTTTTAGATTTTTATAAATATGATATATAAGAAATTTTGATAAAATATGATAAGGTGGAGGGTCTAAGATTATAGACCACCCGGAGGGTCACTGCTAGGTCTAAATATAAGGTTGAAGCTTACAGTTTTACCTATCAAACTATACTCTTCGGAAAAGAGATGAATCGAATATAATCTAAGTGTCAAAATATAAGCTTTCAATAAGAGCTTCTATCCGGTGCGGTATTATCTCACAGAGATACTCTTGATGTCACACTTTAATTTACTATATACCTGCTGCGCAGTAGCCAACAAAATACCCTTTATAGTGTCGTATGAATAGTTTTCCTATACCTTTTAGGTAGGCGGTATATTCTCATACAGGCGGTGAGCTATATAGGGCAATAGGTGTGTCAAAAATATATATCCACTGACTGTATATACGGTATTTCTGACAATTCCTTTCTTCTCTTTTCCCCTTCCTTCTCCATACTTATAATTCTGAATGAAATACACTCTTTTCCACAAAGAACTGGCACATAACAGCAAAGCGATATCTAGAACCTAGGTATAGGGAAGTGCATTTCTAGCTGACAGATACCTTGACAAAGCGGAATTTATTTAAGCTAGTCATCAGGGTATTCATCCTTCATATTGCTCACAAACATCCGCTCTCTCTCATCCCATCGTTTGAAATGCTTACCCGCAATAGCAGTCAAGCTACCCGGAATTTCCGTGAAGCGAGGCAGAATGATTCCAATATTTTCCTCGGCCACATATCGGACACTTCGATCTGCCACGCTATGTATTCATTGTCAGCCATTAGCTAAGAAGAGTACACAAGAACAACCTACAGCACGTGATAGAAGCTTTGGTGCCTACCAGCTTCCAATCGATCAATGCCCATTCTCCTCATCCACTGTTCGCCCGCGCCACATTCCGAGTCCCAGCCTGTGATAATAGCCTCGTAATGATAGCGACGGTGGCGGAAAATCTGGCCCACCTTATATTGTATATTTGCATTACCACCGGTTCGCCTCCGAATCTGCTTTGGGATCTCATCCACAGCTCTCATCACATGAAGGCTCTCCAGTATGTGCTCATGCTCAAACAGCCCATGAAACAAAGGAGCGATGTACTGCTCGACTAGAAAGATATCAAAAGAAAAGTCTGCAGCGAATAGTTCCATGAGCCATGGTAACTGATGGCGTAGATCCATCGGCCTCGAATCGCCGGACAGTAGCATCATAGACCAAAGTGCAGCGTACTTTGCGCTCATAACATCTATGGAGGTGGCACGCGAGGTTGGATCTTGAGGTTCCACTCGAATCGAGTTCAATATGTTCTTACCACAGCGCAAGACAACGCCTGAAGTCGACGCTTCACCCAGGGTTGTGGTCTGGTCCATGTTGGACATACCCAGAAATGTTAATTGGCTGCGTAGGTTTGAGACAGGAGTCTCCCTTGCACCCCGAAACGGGTCCAAGTAAAGGGGTTCCCCTGGTTCCATCTCACTCAAAGCGTTTCCATCAATGTCTGAGCCGAGCTGGGGGGTAATTATCACATGCACATGGAATGGAAACCCACAAGGACGGGCGTTCAGGCCCACCCCCTGCGCAACAAAGCAGTAAATCGCGGCCGACACCAAAGGCAGAGAGTTATGCTCTGGACTCCTTAGAGCCAACCCTAAAAAGTTATGCTCCAAGGAATGATATTCCCGCTCTGGATTGATCCCTATAAGATCATTCTGCTCTAGCCAGGATGCTACGGCTAATGCCTTTTCACGGGGGGTGAAAAGGTGAAGATTTGGGTGAGACGCCACAAAGCGGTTGAGGATCTCATCCAGAGAGTCTTGTATCTAGATCAGGGTCAGGTATAGACTTGTGAAGGGGATACTAGGACAACACCCACTTCATCCAAATCTCCAGTTCCACTTTCGGGTATAAAGAGATCGAAACATGCCAAGGCTCTATCAATTGACACAGGTTCTCCGCGTTTGAGTTTCACCCATTCTGGTATGGCAATGCTTCGGTGCAGGCAAGTCAAGAGCGCGTGGGCGTAGTACCTTTTATGGTTGGTACAAGACACTGGTCAATTCGAGGGAAACACATGCGGACTTGCATAGAATTAGTAGCCCACCTTCTGGCCAAATAATCATCCCCGGAATCTATCCGGCTATATCGTAGAAGAGTATCCTTTGCATCGTATCCCATATTGATAACACGGCGAAACTTTTCGATCCGGCCAGTCTGGCTACCAAGAATACTATCAAGAATCCGAGTGACAGATTGATCAATCTGATATTTGAAGACAAATAGTGCTTTCCAATTGGTTGAATTCGTTGGGCAGGCAAGCTTCCGGGGCATGTCATGTCGCCCATCCCAGAACTTGTAATGCGACTGACAATGGTGACGCCATAGTAAATTCTCACTCGTTACGTTTTGAAATCGACGATTGGTTTGTTCGACGGCGGCACAGGATTGAGGAGAAGAATAACATAGAATCAAATGCAGGATCTCGTCTGGAAGATGGATTAAAGACCGAACCATCCCTGAAGATAGAAGACTGATGATGTTGGGAGGGGAAGACAAAGGAGAGGGCAATCAGAACGGTAGAATAGCCGATTTACATTCCTCAAGAAGTAAGAAAATTAAAACCAAAAAGTAGATCTGAGATTTGGAGAGTAGGAAAGTAGGAAAATCAAAAAATACCACCGACGCATGAAGATTCTCCCCGCTTTTGTTATCTCTCTCTATCAAAGACGCCAAGCCTTGAACTTCCTCGTCCATGTTTTTTCCCTCTTCTTTTCTTCTTCTTTTCTTCTTCTTTTCTTCTACTTTTAAACACTTATAGACAGTAATCTTGCTCTACCATCTTAATGATTTCCTTGAGATATTTTGAAATGAATTACTAAAAAAAACGTGTTGCTTCAGAACAACCGTGGGAATTTGTTGTGGTATTTGCCATCCTTCCCCACCATTATTTCTCTTTCTCTTACACGCCATGGGCCAATTTCATTCCACGAGCCAGGCAAATCCCGGTGCTTTGGAACAATCAGATCAGAAGACCGACTATTATGAGCTGCTTGGTGTAACACGCGATGCAACAGATGAGGAGTAAGTTCGCATGGATATGTGACCTACGGACATAACTAAAACTCACTCGACCTTTAGAATCAAAAAAGCATACCGAAAAAAAGCTCTTGTGTTGCACCCAGATCGAAATTATGGGAATGTTGATGAGGCTACCAAGCTGTTCGCCGAAATCCAATCTGCCTACGAAGTACTGGCAGATCCCCAGGAACGAGCATGGTACGACTCCCATAGCGATGCATTTTTAGGGACCAACGGAAATACCGATGATCAACACTCGTACAATGTTCGAATCACAACAGCTGAGGATGTCCTCAAACTCTTCTCGAGGTTCAGTCCTCGAATGGAATTCTCCGACTCCGCAACTGGATTCTTTGGTGGTTTGCGAGAGCAATTCGAACAACTCGCGCTGGAAGAAAGGTTGGCCTGTCAGTGGGAGAATCAAGACCCTATTGAATATCCTTCATTCGGATCTGGTAGTGATGATTTTGAGAACGTTGTACGGCCCTTCTATGCTGCATGGACCGGGTTCTCTACCCAAAAGTCCTTCGCATGGAAAGATGCCCATCGTTATTCTGAAGCGCCTGACCGCCGGGTGCGACGAATGATGGAAAAGGAAAACAGACGTCTTCGGGAGGAAGGTATCCGAGAATTCAACGATGCTGTCAGGTCCCTTGTGGCTTTTGTCAAAAAACGTGACCCACGGTATAAAGTTAACGCCCAGAGTGAAGCTCAACGCCAGGAAACCCTCCGCCAGTCTGTGGCTGCACAAGCTGCAAGATCACGAGCTGTGAATCAAGCCAGGATGCGGGATCATGTCCTCCCCGAGTGGGCCCAGTCAGAGCAACCAGTGGCAAATGACGACCAGGAGAGGAACGAAGAGAGCGAAGTCGAGAGCTTTGAATGTGTGGTATGCCACAAATATTTCAAAAGCCAGAAGCAATTCGAGGCACACGAGCGTAGCAAGAAGCATTTGAAGGCAGTCAAACAGCTATGCTGGGAAATGCGAATGCAGAACGACGAATTGGATTTGGAGTCCGCAGATGGCTCGAGTCCCAATGCAGCTACAACCAAACCTCTTGAGGCTGATGACGGGAAAGATGAGGTTTTTGCTGTCTCACAGGTTGATCTGGGATTAGATGCCGCCTTGAAGAGCCAAGATATCAATGTTGAGGATCAAGGAAGTTTGCATGGTCTTGAGGAACTAACTCGAGCCGAGCCGAACTCCCCAATGTCTTCGCACGATGACGATTATGCCTGCAGAGAATATGTTGAAACAAGGCTCCGCATCGATATGGATCCTTTGTCCACAGGTGCCCGAGACTCCTCTAGTATACCTGATCATCTACCATCTTCGGACCTCACCGAGCAGTCACCATCTCTCAAAATGGGCAAAGCCAAGCAAAAACGGGCGAAAAAGGCCGCGAGGCAAGCGGATCAACCTACAGGGTTTATTTGTGCAAATTGCCAGGCTCCCTTCACATCCAAGTCTAAATTATTCGATCATATTAGAGATCTCGACCACGCACAACCCTTGACGAGGTCTGTCGCTAGGAAGGGAAAGAAACACTAGTAAAACATCCGTGATGCTCACTTACCCAATTTTTTCAAAAGATAAAAGATAAAAAGAGATATGTCAGATCCATCAAGTCTTACGTTTTAAATTTCAGTGTTTTAACAAGGCCGCATATGCCGACTTCAGAAATCTTCCCCTTCCAAACACAGACCCAAACATCTAACCTAACCCAGCCCGCGAGTTCTTCACGATCTGCGTCACAGGCTGCAGAATTCCCTTGTTATCGGCGGCACCCAGAGCAGTACCGGTACTCCATCCCATCTTCTCTAGCATGGCCCGCCCTCGGTTTTCGGCTCCGATCTCCGGGGCGGAGGCGCCAACCACATCGCCATCCATATATGAAGCAGCACCGGACTTTCCACGCTTAGGTTGAGAAAATTTCTGCACTTCTGTGCCCCATGATTTGAACAACCGACGGTTGAATTTCCTGCCGGATAAGATATCGTCAACGTTAGATATAGTCTTAGGTGTGTATCGCGGAGTGCGCGCAGTCTTATTGAGGACCGGGAATCGAGATATCCCATGGCCGCGTGACTGTGATTTCAGATTCAGTGCATTGGCCAATTCATGTATCAGCTTTCTGCGTTGCTTGGTCATTGGCGGCAAGGACAGGCTATATTGAGTTAGTTAGGTCGATGAGAATGGGCAGGTATAAAACGAACCTATTTTTAGCGGACATAAGGAATGAGCGAAGCTCAGTCATAAACTCCTCCATGTTCATTTCCTTGGGATACTTGACCTTGAGGTCTGGATCCCTTGCTTTCCTGCCCAATAGTCCTTGCGCCCGGAGCTCTTCCCGCTCCACCTTCCGCAGCCTCTTTTTGGTTCGGTCATTCGTCCAGGCCTCCTGTAACTCGATCTCGAACTCACTGTCGGATAGTACCAGGTCTGGGACGGACTGCTTGCCCTTCGGTTTTTTCCGTAGGCTTGGTCTGTCAAAGTCCATTATATCAAACCCAAAGTACGGGTCAGACTCGAGAGCATCCGCAACTGCCGACGCAGATGGAAATAAAGACCTTTCATGGCGGGAACTCTTCTTAATGGACCCAGTATAATCATTAGCCAGGTCCTCGAGCAGCACGAAATCTTCAAGGTTGTCGTCATCTGATTCAGAGGTCATCATGTCGCCTTCGTCATTTTCGCTTGATGTTGGAATTGTATCATGTTCGGTGTCAATTTGCATTTGAGCTAGTAATCTTGGTGATTCCATTTTGGAGCTTCTGGGGCTTGCGGCCGACAGATCCAGTTGAGTTGCAGCTTTTACGACGTCAATGTCGACTTCTGCGTCAATATTTGCACCAGATGCCAATTCCTCGTGGTAGTCTTTGTCAATGTTGGCAATATAGTCAGCTAGTGGGTCGGTCTCTTCTTCCGGTGGCCAATCTGGCCTCTCTGCGTTCGATTCAGGGTAGCCTGTGGGAATAGCGGCAGGCGAAAGGTCCCAGGGCGTAGAGTCCAACATTGGTGTGTGTGATTTCTGCATGAATGCAGCAGTATTCGTCTGCACAATTTCTTGAATCTCTTTCTGATGTGTTCCAATGAGCACGGGCTTTGTATTCCTCCTGCCGGTGAACACAACCTCATCCTCACTCGAGTCATCTATATCCGATAATTTCGACTGTAGTATTGGGTTTGGGTGCTCGATTTGAATAACTCCTTGTCCTTTGGAGTCGAAGAAGAATGGAACCTCAATGTCGGCCTTCTTGTCCGGTATACTGTCGATTTTTGGTTCTTCCCGGTGCGTGTCCGATTTTGCCTGATCCTCGTCTGCTCGTTCCAATGTTGGCTCCAAACTACCCGCGCTCACGAATTGGACGGCTTTGTGACGAAGATTGCTGTCTGCCCATGATCGCTGATGGATTTCAGTATTCCGAGCTTCTTGCTGCATGGTAAACTGGTGTGGCTGTGGCGATAGGCCTTTTTTTTTTATGTTAGTATTCATCAAAAGCACATAAGCACACTAATTACCTCCGCCCATCTGTGCCCGCCTGGTACGGGCCTTGGATTTCCCATGGCGAGCCATAGGTGTGGTGAATCTGATCTGTTGATGGTGGGGGGTGAAGTGACTTAGGGGGGATTCTTTCGCCTTCGGGTCCGGGCGGTGACGGACCTGGTACAAATGGTACCTTCCTATGTATGTATGTACCAAATACAACATCCGTATGGTTGTATAAGACCTTTTTTTTTTTTTTGACCATTATAGACTTGAATGTTATGGGTTTTTGAAAAGCTAAAACGAACCCCATTCTTGAATTGCAGAGTATCTGGAGCGTAAACTAAATGCATTGTAGTCGGTGACGTCTTAGCTCGTGACTGGAAAGCTCCTCCCCCTCATCGGGGAGAAAGGAGGATTCAACTCTGGCCTGGAGCTTTTACCGTTTGTCTTATCTCCATTCCCTTTTGTTTGTGTTTTACCTCGGGTTCTTTTGGTGGCCTGCTTGGTTTGGGTTTAAATCAAGTTTCGACGTTACTAGCTTCCAGGGTTGGAATATATATATTCATCCAACCACCTCCGATCCAGGACCACCGACCCCCATCTACACTATAACCACCAGATCCACAACAAACAAAAAGCAGAAATCCAACTTCAGCCATGACCGTGGACATGGAAAAGTGTAAACGAATAGTACAATACTTCTGGGACCCAGAACCCAGAAACGATGTACCTGCGGCGTCGATATGGTGTCTGGGTAAGGAGTATGCCCCCCGGCAACCATCCAGTGACCAGACCAGTGCGTTTTCCTCAAGTGAATATATAACTCTATATTCTACTCCCTAACATCACATACAGCCAACAACCCACATAGCCCTTCAAGACAGTCCGATGCTAGCACATTAAATGACACAGCATGGCCGAAGGCATTTCTCTTCGATTTCGGATCGAGGACTTGGATCACATACCGATCAAATTTCACACCGATTCCACGAACAAACACACCAGAAGCAACATCCTCGATGACACTGGGGGTACGTTTGAGAAGTCAGCTGATGGACCCCCAGGGTTTTACATCAGATACAGGGTGGGGCTGCATGATCAGGTCTGGACAAAGCCTTTTGGCAAATACCTTTTCAATTCTATTACTAGGACGAGGTGAGAGATGAGTCCAATAATGTCTTGTGGGAAAAATTCCCACACTAAAAAAACAAATCAAATCATCCAAAAAAAATAACGAAAAAATAAAAAAGCACAGAGCTAACCAGACATACTAACTAGACTGGCGTCGAGGGGAGAAAGTGGAGGAAGAGTCGAAGCTAATATCAATGTTCGCCGATCACCCGGATGCTCCATTCTCTATACATCGATTTGTCAATCGTGGTGCAGAATCATGCGGGAAATATCCAGGTGAATGGTTTGGGCCTTCAGCAACTGCTAAATGTATCCAGTGCGTGTTACTAAGACCCAAGATATAGATTAATACTGATGGCGATAGGCTACTTTCCACTCAAAGCAAGATCCCCCAACTCAGGGTCTATGTAACCAATGACACATCGGATGTCTATGAAGACAAATTTGCATACGTGGCCCACGATGGATCAGGTCGAATTCAGCCAACACTCATCCTGATTGGAACCAGACTGGGGATCGATAATGTCACCCCGGCGTACTGGGATGGACTCCGAGCTGCACTGACATATCCCCAATCCGTTGGCATTGCAGGGTAGGTTCACCTGTCTGATCGATACGAAGTGTGTACTAACAAAAATAGTGGACGCCCATCGGCATCGCATTACTTTGTAGGGGCTCAAGACTGTCATCTCTTTTTCCTGGATCCGCATACCACCCGACCTGCAACATCTTATCGACCAGATGGGCTTTACACCCAGGAGGAATTGGATAGCTATTACACCAGCCGACTGCGGAGAATCCATATCAAGGACGTGGATCCCAGCATGCTCATTGGATTTCTCATCAAGGATGAAGATGACTGGGCTGACTGGAAGAAACGAATTCAATCCACGCCTGGACAGCCTATTGTGCACATATTCCCTGGTCAGCACCAGCCGGATCATGGTCATGGTCGGGCCGAGGCTCTGGATGAAGTCGAGGCGCTGGACGATTCAGATGAGATATAGACAAACTAGGAGGCGCAGGCTCACCTTCCCTAAGTTTCTAGGTTGCATATTGGAAATTTACCAGGAAAGAGAAATAGAATCATGATGCAATGCAATCAAGCATTTGGAATTTCGCGTTCTAGTAGGGGGAGGCCAATCCATGCCTGCCCCAGACCCGAGTTATGTTACACCGCATTCACGTATCGAGTGGTAACCATTCAAAAAAAAAAAATCACCCATCGGGGAAAAGAAAATTCAAGCCATCCCATGACGCATTAGAAACCCGCAAAACACCCATAACCGACCACCTCAAAGCCTATAACAGATCAAGAGGCGATAAAAACAAAAGCAAGCTGGAGGAAAGGAGAGGGAAAGAAAGAAAAAAATAACGTTAAAAAAAAGCCGCTTATTTGGCGGAAGAAGAGTACTTGGTCACAGCCTTGGTTCCCTCAGAGACGGCGTGCTTGGCCAGCTCACCGGGAAGGATAAGGCGGACAGAGGTCTGGATCTCCCGGGAAGAAATGGTGGACTTCTTGTTGTAAGCAGCCAGCTTGGAGGCTTCAGTAGCGACACGCTCGAAAATGTCTGGAAAATGAGACAAGTCAGAAAATGAGACATGACAAACACGTAAACGCGTTTTTTTTTTGGGTGAAATACATACCGTTGACGAAGGAGTTCAAGATGGACATAGCACGGGTAGAAATACCAGTGTCGGGGTGGACCTGCTTGAGGACTAAAAATGAAGTCAGTATGGACGCGTCTTTGTTTCCCCCCTCTTGCAACGTTGTTTTCAAGAATCAACTCACCCTTGTAGATGTAAGAAGAGTAGGTCTCCTTGCGGGTCTTGCCGCGCTTCTTCTTCTCGCCAGTGGCAGCGGTGGCAGTCTTCTTTCCAGCCTCCTTCTTCTCAGCAGGGGCCTTGCCGCCAACGGGGGCCTTGCCACCGGTGGAGGGCTTCTTTTCAGCGGCCTTGGGGGGCATTTTGAATGTAAATCGGAAAGTTGGTTGGGAAAGGAGTTGGAAGAGTTAAGTGTAAAGATGGATGAAGCGTGTGGGTGGGAAACAGAGATGGAATGTGGAAGGGAAAGTCAAAGAGACGCGGTGACGAGGGGAGACACCGTCTTTATACTCGTGTTCCAAAGGCCAGTTGATCCTGGAGGGGGGTGCAAAGGAGGCCGAATTTCAATACGGTAACACTATGGTATGATCTGTATGATTAAACTGACATTGACGCGTCTTAAGGTGGTAGAGGTGGGGTGAAATCACGTTCAGATGACTGTCATGTATGGTAATGGACTTTAATTACCAAGCCATTCCCGAAGGGGAATGTCTGATCTGATTGATCATTGGCTGCAACATCTAAGCGAGGCCGTGATCTGGAGGGCCATTGATGCCGTCCCAACGTCACCCTCACCGCGTCCTTATAAAGGTCCTCCGCTTCCACACGCTCTCCCACCTGCTCTTGCGACTTTACACCATAATCCAAGCTTTCCATCTTCAATAACTTCTCTTCCTTTTCTACCCAACTCCCCTTTTCTCAAAAACCATCAAAATGACTGGCGGAAAGTCCGGCGGCAAGGCTAGCGGCAGCAAGAACGCGCAGTCGTAAGTTGTTTATAATTCGCGTCTTGCATATACGTTTCATACTGACATCAACATCAGCCGTTCCTCCAAGGCTGGTTTGGCCTTCCCCGTTGGCCGTGTCCACCGTCTTCTCCGGAAGGGCAACTACGCCCAGCGTGTCGGTGCCGGTGCTCCCGTTTACCTCGCTGCTGTTCTCGAGTACCTCGCTGCTGAGATTCTCGAGTTGGCTGGAAACGCCGCTCGTGACAATAAGAAGACTCGTATCATCCCCCGTCACCTCCAGCTTGCCATCCGCAATGATGAGGAGTTGAACAAGCTCTTGGGTCACGTCACCATTGCCCAGGGTGGTGTTCTTCCTAACATCCACCAGAGTATGTTATATATATACACACTCACCCCAAATTTCTATTCTTGTATCATATGCTAATGTGTGTTTCAGACCTTCTCCCCAAGAAGACTCCCAAGGCCGGCAAGGGCAGCCAGGAGCTGTAAGGGGCTCTCTATTTTCTTTCTTTCTCGCGGGTTGTTTGTTTTTCCGGCGCGGATTGGTTCTTTGACACGATAATGGGGTTATGGGACGGGCACGTTATGGCTCTGCGTTTTCTCTTTTTTTTCTTTTCCATTTTCTCTCTATCAATTTCCTGGCTGTACATTATGTCTACGGACATGGAATGATACCGGCGACCTTAACCTTGCTTGAGGGATTTCAACTTTCGGATACTAGCCCTAGGTTTGAGCCCAAATCAATAAAAACTCCAGGTTTCCCAAGTGTATAAAATAAATATACGGGCTCGACTTTTGTACCTCAAAATGGTATTCATGGTAGCTATTTATAGTACAAAAACAAAATTGTAAATTCTACATTCCGGTTGGATACTCTACATCTTCAGGAAAGAAATGCATATTTCATGTTTGCGATTGGCCCAATCCTCATATTGTGTTTTGTGGTATCGATTTGACTCAGTGTGCAGCGGGGGGTTGGGCATCTATATTGTTTCATGATCAGTGCAAATTCAAGGTTATATGGGGATGTGAACTTACATGGCAGGATTCGGGCTGGCAGGTTGCGCTCCCATTTGTTGCCGCCGGGCGCAGTAGGCGCCCGGTATGGGTCAGGGTGCTTCCAGCTCTCCAAGAGCTTCTCTGTCTCGCGCAGCAAAACCTAGACCATCTGTTAGAGTTGCCAACCATAGATTTCAGGCCCACATACCTGTTGCTGCCGAGGATCGCGGACGTCCTTGTTGGCTTCGAAAAGGGATCGGATATAGACAGCCTGTCCACGCCAGATCTGCCGGTGGACGGCCCAGTCAAGGGACAGTTTCAGGGAGCGCCGGTAAAGCGACCTACAGCAGATCAGTGAACAGTCCTCTAGGGGAACACCGGCCTACCGACTTAACAGCGAAGGTGGACATTGTTCTTCAAGATTTGTCCCGGGTCCAATTCCGGCCAGCTGGAAGAGAAAAAGGAAAACAAAAAAAGGATATGTGTTGATAAACGGATCTATCAAAGAGAAATGACAACCTTGGAGATTATTAGGGTTCCTGGTGGATAATGCGTTGGGGTTGAGAGTTTCAATGTCGTCAGGTTGACTATTCTGGGCTTCCTAATTCGCTCGGTATCAGTTTGCCCAAATGGTCACTACCCGGCCCCGTAGCAACAAACTGCTTGAAAGGTCTCTCCTCGTCACCGTAGTGTAAGAAGAATACTCCGCCTCTGCCGAAGGGCGCCCGGTTTACTTTAGAACCCGATCCAATCCGAGCTTGATCTTCTTTGCTTCCACTAATTTTTAGGGTTGAAGCATCTTCTCCTACCAAACTGGTTCGGCTTTTTCCTAGCTGAATAAATTTAGCTTCAATTCGCCATGGCATCTCGAGTCTCTATTGCGCGCCTCTCGGGCCAGCGCTTCTCGGCTGTAGCCAGGACCACTCCTCGGGCATCAAGCCAGTTCCGCAATTTCAAGGGATTGTCTACCCTCACACGAAAGACTTTGGCTAGCTCAGCTTCGAGCTTGTTACAGGTCTCTTCCTCCTGGTAAGTATCTATGTCATTACCATTCGTCGCAAATTTGGCTCATACAACCCTATAGCATCAATGTCTCGCGACTCAACCTTGCTCCTCTGGGAGGTCACCAACTTCGTACCTATGGTAAATGCCTTTCTTGAGCAGTATTTTTGATCAGTTGCTAATCCTGCTTAGCTGACTCCATCATCAAGGTCCCCAGCATGGCCGAGTCGATTACAGAGGGTACCCTCAAGCAGTTCTCAAAACGTATGGTGCTTTATCCGTGGTTAAACAATTGGCATTTACTTATTCTAGTATAGAGGTTGGCGATTTTGTTGAGCGTGACGAGGAAATTGCGACAATTGAAACAGACAAGGTCAATACCAACTACCCCACCCCGTCACAACTAATACTGTTGCTAATATGGATTTTCTGTTAGATTGATGTTTCGGTCAATGCTCCAGAGTCCGGTACCATCAAGGAGTTCCTTGTGAACGAGGAAGATACCGTTACCGTCGGCCAGGATCTCGTCAAGATCGAGCTTGGTGCGGCCCCCGAGGGTGGAAAGAAGGACGAGGGCGCCGAGAAGCCCAAGGAGCCCAAGGAATCTGGGCCTAAGAAGGATGCTTCACCCGCCCCTGTCGAGACTGAGAAGCCCAAAGAGCCCGAATCTAAGAAGGCTGCACCCCCTAAGCAGGCTCCCAAGGCGGAGTCCAAGCCCCAGGCCGCCGAACAGCCAGCTCTTGGCGGTCGTGAGGAACGCCGGGTATGTTGATTGGTCTTTGATTTTGGCTTGAACTAATTTTTTTTGTCTAGGTCAAAATGAACCGTATGCGTCTGCGTATTGCCGAGCGCCTGAAGCAGTCCCAGAATACCGCCGCTTCTCTCACTACTTTCAACGAGGTTGACATGTCCTCGCTGATGGAGTTCCGGAAACTGTACAAGGATGATGTGCTCAAGAAGACCGGTGTGAAGCTTGGTTTCATGAGCGCCTTCTCTCGTGCTTGTGTGCTTGCCATGAAGGATATCCCCGCTGTCAACGCTTCCATCGAGGGTCCTAACGGCGGTGACACCATTGTCTACCGCGACTACGTTGACATCAGCGTTGCAGTCGCCACCGAGAAGGGTCTTGTGACCCCTGTTGTCCGTAACACTGAAGGCAAGGATCTTGTTGGCATCGAGAAGGCCATTGCCGACCTTGGAAAGAAGGTGGGCAGTTTTTTTTTTTTCCTTATGGCGGAGATGTCCAGTTCACTGACCTGCAGTAGGCTCGTGACAACAAGTTGACCATTGAAGACATGGCCGGCGGTACCTTCACCATCAGTAACGTATGTTTTCTGCCTCCATACGTTTAAGAATAACATGGCTAACTTGACCTCAGGGTGGTGTCTTTGGCTCACTGATGGGCACACCAATTATCAACGTTCCCCAAACAGGTCAGTTCTCTCGTGATATCTTTGGGGTTTGAATCTAATTTTGTCTAGCTGTCTTGGGTCTCCACGCCATTAAGGACAAGCCTGTCGCTGTGAACGGCAAGGTTGAGATCCGTCCCGTACGTACAGACAATCCAATTACTTCCTTCGATTTACTGATATTTCTAGATGATGTATCTGGCTCTCACCTACGATCACCGTCTTCTAGATGGTCGCGAGGCCGTTACTTTCCTTGTCAAGGTATGTCTTCCTCCTCATCCGCTTGAATCAATCACTAATCCCACCGCAGGTCAAGGAATACATTGAGGACCCCCGGCGCATGCTGCTTGGCTAGGTGACATGAGTGTTTTGTCACACGCCTTTTAATTATCTGTGTTCTCGTACCTAGAGCGGCCTTGCGCCCTTTGTAAATTATTCTGTTCTAAGATATAAATGCCATGTCAAGGACAAGTCTGTCAGCGGGGCCCTTAAGTACTATATGTTATATGTTACATTGCTTTCGATATTTGATCGGCTGTTGAGAATTGATTGAGATTCAACGATCAGTAGGTCAAGTTGGTTTACATGTTGTATCGCGCTTCAGACCACTCGTGGTCCGCGGATCCCTGGCCCTCACGTGTCCGACTTGGCATAACTACACATAGGAGCATATAGAAGGACATTGCTCTCGTATATTTTGAGCGAGACTACCAGAATCCACAGTATTCTCGAATCTGCTGTGTCTGCTCCCGGGTCAGGCCTTCCAGTTGGCCCTGCTCCAGTTGCAAAAGAAGAGGCGCGTCCAGGACTTCCATAAGATCCTCGAAAAAATCGACATAACGATGCTGCAAGCATTGGAGAGGAAACTTTTCACTAAGTTCTTCTCGGCTCATTGGATCCGCGGTACCAAATGGAGGTGGCATGTGCTCAAGGAACATGGTCCGGCTGACTTCCCACCATATATCGAGTTCGCTGTCGTTGGTTCTCCAGTTGCAGAGTCTGTTGAGCTGCTCTGGGAAACGCACTTCTTCTTCAAGCATTGCATGGACCATGAAGTGGGCACCTAGGTCGAACCAACGTCTGCGGGATACGTTGGCAACTGCAGAGTGACAGAAGTCCATGAACTGAACCGCGATATCCGACAGGGTCACAAAGTGACCGAGGTCACGATCTTTGGGGGGGGTACCAGTGGAGAAAATGATTGGACAGGTAGAGGATACGCAATTTGAGGTCCAAGTCCCAGGGCAGGGGGCCCTCAAGACGATGATCGAGGAGCCGCCGGTGGAATTCTAGAGTATTAGTCGGTATGAATGCTCCTTTGCTAGGAAGTTCTAGTGCTTACGTTCAACAAGAAGCGCAAACCATTCAATGTCCTCCGTTGGTCTTGCTTGATGTACCGCTTCTAGGAGCCCACTGATGCACATACAGACCATGTAGTCGAAGATCAATAAATCCACTGTGGCTCGTATGCCCGGGTTTCGTTCCGCCATTTTGAAGTCAATGCCGAGGCGGCAAAGGTATCAGATGAAAGGTATATGAGCAGTCCTAGAGGAGTCCATGGTGCCTTATAGGTGTAACTTTTCCAACAACAATTGTGTGAAAGCGCTTAGTCGGCACGATTAGTCGGCAATGTCACCTGCCTAGGTGCCGTCAATGCTGGATTATCAATATGCCCGGATGTTTTGATATCTCTTTCACGTGACTCAGTCCCATTTTAGTATTATATTTACTACATATGCAACTACTTGCTATGTAGCTTGGGATATATTGGAATTACATTGCTTTTACTATATATATATATATATGTATGTATGTATGTATAAATCAGGTTTTACTTGTGATGTGTAGTGAATGCGGATATCATGGCGTCATTTATATATAACCATCTGTGGGAGAGTCACACATACATGATGTACTTGCTATGTAATTAACCATTACATAGTAGACAGGAAACTTTTCCCCTGTCACCATTCAACACCCTACAACCCATGTCTAGTCTGCGCATAAAACCAAAACTCAAACCCGTCAAAGCAACACAGGCTATGACCATGGCGTGGTATTGTTCTGGATCTACCAATACTGAATTGGTCGAGAACCTATTCAAGGCTGGATTGATACAGAACGAGCGTGTGAAAGATGCCATGATAGGAGTGAGCATATTCAATATATCCTATTCAATGTCCTTTCTAACATGATCAAGGTTGATCGGGCACATTATGCTCCATCAAGGCCATATTCAGACTCGCCTCAGCCCATTGGACATGGAGCCACTATATCAGCACCCCACATGCATGGCCATGCATGTGAGTATCTGATTGATTATCTCAAACCAGGTGCTCGAGCGTTGGATATTGGATCTGGTTCAGGATACTTGACTCATGTCCTTGCCAATCTGGTGACCGATTCCAATGCCCCGGGACAGGTGATTGGCATTGACCATATCTCCGAGCTGACAAACCTGGCGCGCACCAACATGAACAAGTCCAAGAAAGGTACTGAGTTCCAGACATCTACAACCGTCAAGTTTATTACTGGCGATGGACGCCTTGGATGGAAAGAAAGCGCGCCATATGATGCCATCCACGTTGGTGCCGCTGCCGACAAGCTTCACCAAACGCTGGTGGATCAGCTGCGTGCTCCCGGGAGACTCTTCATCCCGGTGGAATCGGAAGATGACGAGAATGCCATGGATAGCCTCAGCGGTGGTCAGTATATCTGGGTGGTGGATAAAAGGGAAGACGGATCCATTCACAAGGAGAAGGTCTTCCAAGTGAGCTACGTGCCCTTGACAGATGCTCCACGAGAATGAAATTGCAATCCAGATACTTCTATTTTATTTGATATCTTTACTCCAATCCAAATCAATTTAATTCAAGAAGAGAATGAGTCTATGTACTTCCCTAAACCTATTTCTCATGTGAGCTTCAAATCCATGAATAGCTTTCCAAATACATTGAGAAACCCCACGAACACCTGGTATGTCCCACAGAAAAAAAAAACAATCCGATCAGCGGAATCCACCAGGGAATTTGAAACTTCCCTGGAATTGTGGACCGCCCTGTTGGAAGAAGAACTGTTGACCGCCGCCACCGAATGGATGACCCTGGAACTGACTACCCCGTTGCTGCGATTCAGGATCATTGGGATCATCGCCGTTGTCAAACCGTGTCCGGAGTTCGGAGTCAGATAGAACCTCGTAGGCTTCGTTGATGGCCGCCATCTTTTTCTCTGCTTCCTCTTTGCTTACACCCTGGGCGTGGGCCTTATCAGGGTGATGTTGCTTCACCAACTGGCGATACGCGCGCTTGACTGTCCGATCATCCGCATCACGGCTAATACCCAGGACTTTATAGTAATCTTTCTGCTTGGAACGCCTGAGTAAGGTCTGGGCCTTTTGCTGGAGAGTTTGCGCCTCTTGGGAACTGGGATGATGCTCCTTGGCCGATTCAAGCGTACGTATAGCATCCTCGAATCGATCCTCATCCAAAGCGGTCTGGGCCTGATACAGGAGCCCTGAAAGCGAGTGAGGAACAAGCTGAAGAGCCTCAGCGCAGTAAGGACCGGCCTTTTTGATCATATGCATCTATACATGTTAGTGACAGAAAACCAAAACCTGCGATGCGGATACTCACTTCACGGTAAGCCTCGCAGGTCTTCTCGACTAGGAACGTGTAAAGATTATCCGGTGCCAAGCGATGAATATGGTTGGCCTGTCTTGCTTCTTCAACATCGGCCTTGATGTCTGCAATCAGTCCACTGGATTCGTTATCGCCGACCATGATATTTGCCGCATTGCTGAATTTACGTGCGCCAAGGGCATTATGCAATTTCTCTACCTGCTTGACAAGCTTGCGTTCACGCCGATAGAGACGGTTGCACGGTTTCGAGTCGGGATCAGTATGGAGACATTTACGGATTTGAGCAAGGCCACGGCCACTGTCCGCTAGAGAGTAAAACAGCATTGACGACATTTGCAGGTGAGGTTCGACCAAGCTCGGGGACATTTGCAGAACATGTGCCAAATCACTAAGCCCTTCTTCGGTCTCGCCTTTTTCAAAGTGACAATGAGCTCGAGCTTGCCGCAGAGGCAGTGCCGTATTTGCCTTTAGGATGGCCACATTCGCCTCCGAGACACACGTCTCCCAGACGCCCTGCTTTTCGGCATCGAGAGCCAATGTGGCTGCATCCCGTGCGGCTTCTAATTCCTTGTAATCGTCCGTCGACTTCTTTCCGGCCCGCTCAAGGTCCTGCAAGGCGTCTTGCCAATGCGCGGAGCGTGCCTTTAAGCGAGATCGTTGTAGAAGAGCGCCCTCAAAGTCTGGTTTGAGTTCTAGAACTCGATCAAAGTCACTTGAGGCCTGTGAGTTTTTGCCGATGGACAGATAAGCTGCACCCCGCTGGAAGATAGTGATATAGTTGGTTGGGTCGCGTGAGACGGCGGCGTCGAAGTATACCACGGCATCTCGGGGTGAGCCATGCGCGAGGTGGGCTTTGGCGGAAGAGATCAATTCAGAGAGAGGGATGTCTGAGGGGATTTCAAGGGCGTATCCAGCCGAGAAACAAGCCAGGAAGGCCGTGAGTGATTCCAAGGAAACGAGCATCTTGGGGAGTATGCGACGCAGTAACTATGTAGTTAATGGAGATGTAAATGAAGATTTTGGTGTAGAATTAGTCTCCCTAGGAGAGCAAGAAGAGGGGCATGATCCAAAAACCCAGGACAAAATGGTAAAGTGCAAAGCGCAATGAACAATGAACAATGAACAAGGAAGTTGAAGCTGGATGAGCATACTCCGTGGCCTTTACGTCTCGTATTGTTCCGTTACCGTCATGTGACATGTAATTGTCTCCAATCGCTTTCGTTCCAAATTTTGATGTTCATTAAGTGACTCGAAGTATGGTCGCCAATTCAATATGTCGAATTATCTTGAGGCCTAGCCTTGGCCTGAAATTCTCGCCTTTGCGAGGCGTACATACCGGTAAGACCGGTTTGGCTACTTTCTGATCAATATGCTAATTACGAGGAAGCATCCGATTCTGCCTTGTCTCCAGCACTTTTAACCAGAGCCCGCCTACTTGCAGCTGAACACACAAAGCTTTCCGAACGACTGGGAGACTCATTTGATGCAAAAACCGCCAGACGAGCCGGGGAACTGGCACCAATTGCGAATATCTTGAAAGAATGGGTTAATGCCAATGATGTATGCACCTCCGGAGTCTTTTATTGGAACCCTACTAATTCCGCTAGTCTATCATCGAGCTCAAGTCCCTATTAACCGACCCCAGCACCGACGCTGAACTGCGGTCTTTGGCAACAGAAGACCTTGAGAGTAGTCGCAATGCCTTGCCAACGATATCAGACCGACTGAAGAAGGCCCTCATTCCGCGACATCCATTTGCAGACCTTCCTTGCTTGCTCGAAATTCGACCTGGCGCAGGCGGAGATGAAGCAGGTTTGTTTGCTTTTGAGATGTTACGGATGTACGTTGCTTTTTGCTCCCGAAAGGGCCTCCGTCCAACAATTTTGAAGCAGGATACAGAGGTCGGCGCGTCCGACGACCGTCTCAGTGAGGCAGTAATTGAAATTGAAGCCAATGGTGCATATGATATATTACGAACTGAATCAGGGGTACATAGGGTGCAGAGAGTACCCGCAACTGAGACCAAGGGTCGCACCCATACTAGCGCTGTCAGTGTAATGGTCTTGCCGAGTTTCCCAGAGGACGGCAGCGAGATGGATAGCGCAGTGAACTTTGAAGATCCAAACAGCGATTACTATATTGACCCGCAAGAGGTGCGGGTTGAAAAGATGAGGGCTTCAGGTGCTGGAGGGCAACACGTTAACAAAACCGAGTCCGCCATTCGACTGACCCATATCCCCACGCATACAGTCGTCTCCATGCAAGACGAACGGTCCCAGCAGGCCAATCGCAGAAAGGCCTGGCAGATGCTACGGGCAAAACTGGCTGAAGCCCGACAAGAAGCCCGCGAGCAAGAGCTTATGCAACTCAGACGAGGTATACTGGGTGGTGTAGCCAAAATGGGTCGAGGTGATAAAATTCGAACCTACAATTTTGGTCAAAGTCGCTGCACTGATCATCGCACAGGCATCACGATCCACAATCTGGATAGTATTCTTGATGGCGGTGATGGTTTAGACACTGTGATGGATAGTGTACGGACGTGGATGGCTGATACTGAAGTTGAGGCTATGCTTGCTGAGGACATGGCAAAAATAAAGAGTAAATAACAGAGCCTTTTTTTCATGTACAATGATACCATATATTCTATTAAAGTCTGAATTTATTGTTCTACAAATACTTTCGCTCCGGATCCAAGAGGTCCAGCCCATCCATAGCCTTCTCGTACCTGTCCAACAGTTAGCAACTTTCGTAGTATGACTTGGATCTGTCACAAACATGGTGAACACAATTCCCCCACTCATGATAAGTCTCGCAAGTCGCGGCATAGCACCAGACCACAATGTGAAGACACCTTCATCCTTGACGATTCTTGTTGCGCAAACAATGCTGTTCTTGTAATGCTTGCTGGCCTCGAGTGATTGCATTCTGATATCGTTAATATCTTAGATATACCATTAGCCCGCGGGAATATTAACCTTGTCTTGACCGTGTCCAATGGTTGGGTCACGTAACTGATTCATGTTAGTTTGGATTTGAATTTGATTCATCTCCTCCAGGGAGTCTTACACAGTGATGAACCCTGCAACTCCACCAATTCCAAAGGTGGCTGCAGTGCCCAGCTTTTCGCCTGGCGCCGTATAGCCCTCTGCAAACTGCTTCAATGTTGTGTAGGCTGTGAATCGGGTTGCCGAGTTGGCGGCCTGTCTTGCTGTAGTGGGAACAAAACCTTGGAAGAAGCCCTTGACACCTCTCTCCTTGAAAATGATCCTGCTACCGTGCAAGAAACCACGCATCCGAGGGTTGGCAGACTTCCGGTCATCAATCCTATAGTTCGGTCAGTAGAGCCAGCCAGAAATACGAGGGGAGCTCACAATTGGGTCTTAATGCTCTCAAAGGGGGTGACGGCAAAAAGAGACTCGGTGAATCCAGCGCCAAATCCAGCAACAACCGTCCTTGGTCCTGAGATCTTGCCATTCTCATCCTGAAGAACCGATTTTATGGCATCGAAAGCGACGAATCCTAGTACGTATCAGCGGCGGCCCAGACAATTACGGGAGGTAGACGCACTAATTCCAGCCTTGAGCGAGTTTCCAATAATCAATGTCGTACATCCTGCATACCACTGGCTTCCGAACGGTGGCCATGGTAGCTTTTGGCCCTGGGTAAGCTGGCGATTGAGCTGAGTGCGGGTCTTCGCAACTGCATAGAATTAGCAACCATTGTTGTAAGAAATTCGAAGGATCATACATTCGGCTGGGTATGTTATCGCTGTAGTATACGGGTTAGCTAGTGGCCTGGTAGGGTAGGGGTTCATTGAGCTTCTTTACCGATCTCCACGGCTCCAGCAGTGGACCCCGCAAGGATAGAGCGAAGGGCACTGGGCTATGTCTATTGGTGAGTTTCAAGCAGAATATATTATTTCGAGAATATACCTTTGCTTTTTGATCCTTATTTACCGTCGCCATTTTTTTGGTAGTTTGGAGGAATTGTAGTCGCCGAACCTCGGAGATCCAGCGAGATACGGCGCTCGGTACGTGCCATTACCGCAGAGTTGATGCTGGATCTGTAAAATCAGTCTGGGAGACCAGTTCTTTAACACATCTCATTCATATATATAAAGATCGAAAACGGGTTAATCAAATCCTACAAATTATTACAGAAGAACAAA